TAAAAAAGCATATTACATCTTCACATGCCATCTGTATTAACTGAATAAAGCTAGTGACATTATTTTCAAATCTGTAATTGTACATAGACATCTTGTGCATTAAAAAAGAAATGTACATAATTTAAAATAAATTACATTACACGATTTACAAAGTAATATTAACAAAAACTTCTTAGACAGCTGCCTCCTTATTTAAACAAAATAAATATTCAGGTAATTAAATTAACAAAAAAACACTTAGGGGATTATAATTTATATAAAGACATATTGCAAATTTAATAAAGTTATATTTTACAATGACAGATACTGATCTCTTCAAATCTCTGTGCTACAAATAGGCAGGAAAAAGTACCAGAGAGGGGATCTTAATGTTTACTTTTTAAAAACAAACACACATAGATTGCTGAAAAATAGTTGTGAAAATTTCATTGAAGTTTCAAAGTAGATGCTCTAGAAACTAGTGCTTTTAAGAAAAAAAAGTCTACGAAACACAAGACTGACAGTTTTACATTCTAAATAGACTAGAGATTTTGATTGCTGAAAACATGACTGCCACAAACTAAAAGTTTTTGTATACTGCTCGTTTTCAGATCTGGCTGGGTAGAAGCATGAAAACATAAAACTACGTTAACTCTATCCACTTAGCATGTTTTACTCAATAAAGTAGACATAACCATTTTCAGTGTCCCTGCTAGACAGAGAATTACCATCATCACACTGCAAAACATCCTTTTTATGAAGAGTCATGCTTCCTAGGCCCACACTCCAGTTTAAGAGGCCGAAATCCTCTTCTGTAGTCAGGGCTACCTGAAGATGGGACCAGGTGGGACAGGCAGATGTTGTATTCTCACATGTAAACTAGACCTAAGAAAGCTCCCTTGCTGACAAGATTCTTCACAAATTCTTTCCCGTAAGGCTCTCCCTTTCAACACCTTCGGACTTGGTGGGAAATAGAACAAGAAACACGTCTGAATTTGGCAATACTTTTTTACACATACATCTCAGATGATTTTGGAAGCATGATTCTTACAAATCTATTCAAACTCCCACTAAGCCCAAGAAGGGGCTCTCCTTTCTGTAAGGTACAGGCCTGCCTTCCTCTCTTAACAGGGTGGGACATGAGCACAGAGGTGAGGAGGAGGGAGAGATAACTGGGTCATACTTAAGAGGATAGAAATTGACATTTTTACAGAAAGTCTACAGTATTTTTTTTTTTTTTTGAGGGGGGTATGTCTTCTACATCTTACGTTTTGTTTGAATCAAGATGTTCACACTCTAAGTGACACTTGGACTGTAATAGGTAAGAAATAGCTTCACCTTTTCCCCCCTTACTTAACACTTTGAGCATGCATTGGTAGATGGCAGTTCTGAGAAGAGTAGACAACATTGTTGTTAAGAGAGCAGAGAGACACCAGAGAAAATGATCATAAAGGAGCAATGGGGACAGAGATTTAGAGGAGGTTACTGAGAGATATTACTTCCTGTAAGAAGTTCTGCATATGTGGCTTTATCTTGGAATGTCCAGGAACTTAACAGTGTTCTGATTAAGCCACAATGAGCATTGCCACCTGCCTGAGGGCAAAGGAGGGTTACAGCAAAAGCCTAACAGCATGGCCTGAGACATGGACATTACACAAGGTAAAAATCTCACACTAGAGACAAATCGAGTAAAGGGTGATTTAAGTAACTTCTTCACTCATTAAACATAATTCTTTTTTTGAATGTCTTCCATACAAAAGTCATGACTAATTGTTTTACAGTGTCTAGCAGAGTATCTTACATGTGATAATTCAAGAAGTATTTGTTTTGTCATAAGTGATTTGTGCTTTGTTATAATTAAGAACATGCTTTTATGCACTCCTTTCTAAATTAGCTTGAAGCTACACTATAGTGTCTTCAAAAAGGCTTTCAAATAAGAATTCTGGTCTATATCCTAGATGAGATAGTGATAAAGAAGCAAATCACCCTCTAAAGAGAGATCAGTTGTGCCAATTTTGTGTGGTTTCTATTGAAACAATCCAACAAAATAGTATAATACTGTGTCATTCTTTTTTTTTCTTTTTTTTTTTTAAACCAAACAGACCTTCATGTTTATAGAGCTGTAGTTCTAAATCTTTTGTGGGCTCAAAGGTCATTTTGGTAAGGCAAAAGTGTCAACGGACCAGTTACTAGTATATCCCCCTCCTGAACTGCTAGATTGAACAGGAGGAATAAAATATTTATAACATTCCAGTAACGTACTTCATTCATTATTGCCTCATGCCAGGAACAAAACTAAGGCTATTTTCATGTTGTAAACATGAATATAGTAACCTTCATTTGTCCAAAATAGCCAGCTGGCTACATGTCCTGCCTTCCATCTTTGTAACAAGAGGCCACCCAGTATTTATCCTAACAGTGAACTTCCAATACGTTCCCTAGTGTTAGGTCACATTGAACCCAGTCTCCTTCATATACATAGTGTTGTAAAATGTAACTAATTTAAGAATAAAATAATGTATTTTCATGAAATTAATTTTGATCAGTTCATTAATTCTTAATATATGGGTTACACGATACTGATCTGCCTTCTGAATTAGTGACCTTTTACAATATCAGAAGTATAGCTTTTGTGCAATGCTATTTTATTCTATTCAGTAACTTCAAAGTTAGTAGGTGCTGCATGCGTTTTATAAGGCTGTTAGCTAAATTCTTCAAGTAACTGCAGATTATTTCTCAACCATTTTGTACAAATGGAGTTCATTTTATTCAAAGAGATCAACTTGAGGATTATCTGGAAGACCCCTGAGTGCATACACTGACGATCACAGTTTTAGAACAATCATATGATTTTTATTCCTTCTCTTCAATAAGACAGATGCAATGGAATTTGTTTTTATGAGTTTTTTTGTTTAAATCTTTGATTTAAAGTAAAATTCTCATCTTTGTGACCACCTATTTGCTTTTAAATGATTTGCTTTGCCTAATACAGTGAATGTTTAATAAGGAATTAGTGCTTTATACATTTAATTCTTAGTGAAATAGGTAGAAATTTGTTAATTTTTGAGGCAATAACATCTGATAATCTGATGTTTTTTGTAATCTTTGCAAATAATCCAATGAACAGCAGGGGGAGCTCAAACTCTACTATGAATGTAAAACACCTAGTCTAAACCACTTTTATAGCAACACAGCTATGTTTAAGATAAGATAGCTTATTATACTATTTTTAAAAGACCTGAAAACCTAATGTCCTCCCCTCTACAAAATGTTGTTGCAGTAAATGTTGCCTGAAAAATGGAATTGCTTTTTAATGGCACCTTTTGAATTTTCTTTTCACACACAAGAAGTCTACCAAATCAGATAGATAGTACTTCACTGTGCCTTTCCCAGGGCTACTTCTGTGAAAAATACAACTACTTCCAAAACAGTGAAAAAGTTGGATGACTCCTTTTCACTTTTGAAATTAAACAGTTCTCATATTCTAAGGTAAATGAATGAAAACAAAAGATGACACAAGAGGTAAGCACTGAAAAAACTTCTAGACCAGTGGTCAGCAAACCACAACCTGCAAATGAATGTGACCTGATGACTGTCTTTATAATGGGAGGTTTACTGGGAAACTGCCGTGTTCATTCTTCTATGTACTGTGTATTGTCTACACCTGCATTCTTCTGATGACAGAATTGAGAAGCTGTGACAAAGACCTGGCTGAAAATTTCTATCTGGGCCTTGACAGAAAATTTTGCGACCCTTGGTCTAGATATTTAACAAAGCCCTGGGCAAAACACTTATTCTCTCTTGAAAATTTTAGCTTTTGAAATCATACAAAGACTCCTTCAAATTTTAGTAGTAAGAAAGACACAACCATGGATACATTTGACATGAAACGAAGAATGTGAATCGGGAAAAAGAAGAGTCAACACACAATTTTGATTCCTTTTAGTTACAAAAATTATCAAGACCTTATTTTCTCCATCTGCTCAAAATTAAAAAGACAACCAGCTCCTTTTTTTCTTTTCTTTTCTTTTTTTAACAAAGATAACAAATATAAAAATCTAGTCATAAACAGCCTTCAAAGTACAATTAAAAACCAACTAGAGAGATCCATCTTTTGAAAGGTTAATGAGTTCGGGATTTGAACATTTAAATCCCTACCATGTGGTTGATTTCGCAATGGCTGCAGCAATGAGGAAGAGTGTATACAGCAGATGTAATAGCGAATTCCATCCTGTTGTCATCCAAACTGAACTTTGTACTCTTTAGAATGCAAGAACTTGCAAATGTCTCCATGACACTCTGAGCACATATGTCTTCATCCCATATGAAAAGAGGCAGTTTCTATGGCAATACTGGTTAAGTGCCTATCATGCTGCACTAATATAGTGCAAAAATGTGCCTTCCATATAGCAAAAGAGATGCAGGCAACCAGTTTGAAAATTAGGGAAAGTAGAAATATATTAACACAAGCAAATAAGTTTTCCAGACAATAACCACTATAAAATACTGAACTTGAGGACTTTTTTTTTTTTCTCTAAGATCCTAGTACATGTCCAGCATTCGTATTTTGGAGAAAGACACGAACTAATTCTTAGAAGAAAGTCTTTGCCTCTGAAATGCAGGTTAATGAAAGCTATCATCAACGACCAAGATGCTGAATTTACTCAATGGGTTTTCTCCGCTTAGAGCTTATCTTTTATTCGCTTATCTTTTATTCACCATTAAAATTGCTTATTAACAAGTACATAGTCTGATGTAGTAATGTGTATCATTCAATTGCGTATACATGTTGTTATGCTTCACTATAGTATTGTAGAGATCTTGGTATAAACTCTTCATGCTAAAATGTTGTTACGGGTTAACACTGCCGACAGAGGCTTGGATCAGGCATCCTAACTGAACAATTCCACAACCATATTTTAGAGATGAATGTGAATTGTCAGTTGATAGATTTCAGAAAAGATCACAGAAAACTTAGAATGCAGCATGTATTCAACTAAAACTCCTAGAATTCTCAGGGCTGTTTTTTTTTTTTGTTTGTTTTTGTTTTTTTGTAAGTGGTACTGTCTTAATATCTCCAATGGCACTGTGATTTTCACTCCTTTCTTTGATGCTCTTTTAAAAAGTTACATTGCATTTTAATTCACACAGTATGAAGAGCTTTGTGGCTTCTGGATGTCTACTGCAAAGTCAGAAATCTGAAACTGGTTGTTGCCAGGGTAAGTTATATTTTACATGTCTGCGTCTCCATCATAGGCTAAGGTTAAAGGTTTCAGTCGGTTGTTTTGCCTTCTTTGGGGTTTCTTTGGCTTTTTGCTGTAAACAACACAATAGGAGAAAGAATCATTTGTAAATTTTACTGTTTCAAATGACAAACTTTGAAATGTATTGATAAAGTTGCTAATTGCCTGTATGACCTAAATTCAATCTTAGAATTGGATACTCTGGTATCTTTGAATTTCTTAGGTATGGTCTGAATAAAATTGAAAAAGAACTCCTCCCGTATTTTATTATCTTATAAAAGTGAATTATCAAATGGTATTCCTCTGGTACTAACAATGGAAATACTGTAGTATAGTCATTTATATTTGAGCAGAAATCTTCGTAAATAATACATAATTTATAATATATGTTTAAAAAGGTAGTTGAATCGGATTAGGTATGACCATAATCTCTTCCTCCAGTGGTAACTGAGGATCAGTCTGGAGTTCACCGTAAGCATATGAAGCAGTATTCTCTTGCAGAACCAAGAACACACTTAAGATGACCTGGCGCAGCTCTGGCTCATTTTCAGATTTCAAACGGCTCAGATTTGGTAGGTTTTAGACCAACTATGACAGAAGCCATTTTTATTTAGAATTGCAGACGAACACTCAATGTGGAATACTTATTTGATATAGTTTGCTGTTCCTGTGTTATGGTCAACCGACAGTATTTTTGCTGAAATAGATTGTTGTGCCCCCTTAGATTGTGAAATAGTTACTCACCAAGCTAGATAAATCATGGAGACAATAAAGATGAGTAACACAAATGCCCCAGCTGCTACACCGTAAACCCAGGTCTTTAGTCTCCCATCTAAGAAGAATGGATATCAGTCATTAATTTACATTAGTTTGGTGTGTGATTTTATATATATATATATATGTGTATATATATATATATATATGAGACAGTCTTTAACTATGACCAATGACCAGCCACATATGACCACATTGTTTCAAAACAAAATGAATTATTGCTTAGGCACAGTTAATGATGAATGCAACGCTGCTACTATGAGTTAGATGCTGCTTCATTAAAGGTAAATTATCAATGAGACTTGAAAGGCAAAGAAATAATGTTTTCAATTAAATTTGTGTTCAGATTTCAAGTTTATATGCCTAAATTTTTGCTGCTGCTTAACTAAATTTTAGTTCAAATGAAATATGTGTGTAATGCTAAATAAACATTTTGTTCTGATTTTCACTCTAAGAATGGCAATTACAAGAAGAAAAATAATGCAATTTCAAGAAAGTCCAATAGTTTAGGGTTGATGTAGACAGGTATTTGAACATAAATTTTGTCACTTTAGCCTTTTTTTTCCTACATGAATTGAAAGTGAATCTATTCAACATTTTTTTTAGAATTAATCTTTTATCTAATTTACACTTACACTGTATTTTAAGGTTCATTTGACAACATCATTTGCGAAAATAGCCAAGTTTGATTATAACATATAAATTTTTAACTCTGAATAATTTTTTTCTAACTTTTCTATTATGTGGAATTAGGCAAGACAGGAACTTCCCTAATTTGGTTTTCTGGTCTTATTTTCTTTGAACTTCTTAGTTTTGTGCTGAGAATAAACTTCAACTAGAAGATAGTATTAATAACCTTACCTAACTTAATCTGAAACTCACATCAACATATATTTTCTGTTGCATACATAAAATTAAAGGTGCTATTGGTGCAAAAATTATAGATTGGGCAAATGGACTTCAGAGACACTCTGGTTTATTTAATATTTGGAAGGCATCAAAAACAAATGTTTTTTCTACCTGAAGCTGGATCAACCCAGGGGGTCCATTAGTTGGAAACAATCTGTTAATATTCTAAATAGCCTTCTTTTCAATTCTAAAGACTTAAAAAATTAGACACTGGTTTAAAATCTGCCCTGAGAGTTCTTCAACAAATAATCTTTGAGTTCCTCAAAAACCAAGAACAATGCCTAAATGTACTTTTTAAGAACACAAACCTTTTTAATATACTAAAATACTCACTTTAGGGAAGCTATATATTAAACTTAAAACACTCTTTTTAAAAACCAGTTTTGATTTGAGGAGATCTGCATGGATTCTTATTCAAGGTCACAATTGCTAACAGCCATTTGCTGGTCCACGATCTTGAATACTGAGAGAAGAGTTTCCCGTGTTTGCAAAGACAAGTCAGCTTTGCAAAATATATTGTATTTCAGCTAAGAACCTTACCAAGGCAGGGATAATGTGGTTAAATCACAGTATTTGAGCTACCTCACTCCAAAACTGAAAATACTTAAAATCCTAATAATGATTCTCCAGTAAGGGAAAGTGTTTTGACTTAATACATTCCAAAGAGAGATGTGCTAGCTATGAGGATTCTTTCTTTTCTCATGTTTCTAACAAGTATAAGGTAGACTGCACCTGGCTTTGCCTGGAGATTTCCTTTGGTCACTAACTAGCAATTCCTCTTGGTGTAAGAGACACCATCATGATCTTACCTACCATATAGCCTTCATAGCACAATTTTCAGTACCAGCGTTAGTTCTAGGAATAAGCATATAGTTGATTTCAACTGGGGAGAGAAAGTATGCAGAGTAGGGATAGCATTTTATTAGACCTACAAGCTTTTGCCCGTATTGGCTTCAAGTCCATTACTAGACACATTAAGAATGTCTGTTTAATATGACAGGGGTCTGGTCAGTCTTCAAATTTAGATCATCCCATCTAGACAGGAAGGCTCCATCCCTGCCCTTCTGTATCTGATGCTAGTACAGGTTCTGATTACTTCAGTTTATCAAACGGAAGAGCTGATAGAAATTGGGCTGGCCACCAAGTGCCCCTTGGCACAGCACTGCATTACTGATGTTCCTATTTTAGGTTCAAATTATTACCCGTCTGTGGTCAAATGAAAAATTCTTGAATGTCTTTACAGTTTTATTTGTTTCAGTTCTGAATGACAATACACTTTTTTCCTCATTAATATTTTCACTGTTAGATTTCTTTATTCAATATGATCGTAATTATACTTGTAAATGTAGGTCTGAGATCAAAATAACTAATACCCTAATTTTTTTTTCCATAGAAGAAAGTCATTTCTCTGAACTTTGAGCATGAGTGCTTTTTTTATAATAGTACAAACATAATATATGGCAGTATCAGAATAAATGAGTACAGATGAAATAATTAATAGCTCATATGAAAATGCTTGCTCATTCTTTTAATCCTTTGACATGGTTAAATGTATAAGTAAGAGATTCTACATCAACACTGTCTAGTCACTTCACCTGGCCCAAATGGCTGTAGAAACCAGGTCCTTCCCCGTCCTGTTGGGTTATTGGAGGATGGGGTTGGATGTACTGCGCGACTCGTTTTCACATCTCCTCTTTTGTCCTCCACAGTGGGTATCACCACCACGGGGATAAGTGTGCATTGCTCAAGTGTACCATTAGAAGACATGACTTCAGTGTATCCTTCTTCACAACTGCATGTCCTCATCTGCAGGAGAACAAGAGGATTTCTACACATATAAGGTGATCTTTGAAAGCATGACAGATAGGACTTGAAGAGAAGGCTTTCAAGAAGTATTGTTTTGGAAGTTTACCACATGTAGTTTCTGTCTTAACTACATAAAAAAGGACATACATTTTTTACTGTACACAAATTATTCTAACAGAAACAAGTACATTCAGAATTATTTACATTGATAAACAGAGAGGTCCAGAAATTAAGTTGCAGGCCTCAAGACGTGCGTTTTGGGGGGGGAAATGGACTGTACAAGAGTCAGTGGGGGGAGAAATAATGAAGCTAGTTTATTTATCCTAATGAATTCACACATACCTCACTACAGTAAGAGTGGGGTTGACTACACGGTGGGTTACAAGACCTGTCAGCATCAGGCTGGCGCACCACCAAGCAGCCCCCTGCAGAACAGAAAATCATACATTGACAAGCAGCATCTCTTGCAATGATAGAAATACACAATTGTATAGACGTGTCTTTGAATCCTGAACCACTTTGGGATTTTTCTGAGAGCAACTGATTGTGAGATAGTTGGTTAACCTTGACCACTTTATACAGGAACTTGAGGCTCTTCTTTTTTATTTTTCTTAACATTTACTTATTTAAAAAAAAAAATTTTTTAACGTTTATTTATTTTTGAGACAGAGAGAGACAGAGCATGAATGGGGGAGGGTCAGAGAGAGAGGGAGTCACAGAATCTGAAACAGGCTCCAGGCTCTGAGCTGTCAGCACAGAGCCCGACGCGGGGCTCGAACTCATGGACCGTGAGATTGTGACCTAAGCTGAATCCGGTGCTCAACCGACTGAGCCACCCAGGCGCCCCAACATTTACTTATTTTTTGAGAGAGAGCGTGAGCAGGGGAAGCACAAAGAGAGAGGGAGTTACAGATTCTGAAGCAGGTTCCAGGCTCTGAGCTGTCAGCACAGAGCCCAACGTGGGGCTCAAATTCAAGAACTGTGAGATCATGACTTGAGCTGAAGTTGGATGCTTAACTGACTGAGCCACCCAGGCGCCCCAGAGACTCTTGTTCTTCTTCAGAACAGATGGCACAGAGCCTGGAACTCAGCAGGTGCTCAGTAAGTGCTTGTTTTTTAGTTGCTAATTTGAAAACACTAATTGCACAAGGGCTATTTCTATCCTAGAACCCCCTGTTGGCCCAGTTTAACATTACAAAACAGATTTAATTTTCCTTCAAAGTTAACTTTTTTCTTGGCTATTCAAAGAAATAGTTGTCACATTCTTTGAGATGTCTCTTTAATTTACGTGACTACCACATACATGTTCTTTAATAATGCGTATTTCTTTGAGAAAATTTACAATTCCTGCTAATTCAGGAGTTGTGGGGGTAGAGGAAAGAAAACACTTGTAGCTACTAGGAGGTATATTTATGTTATTGTTTAAACTTGACATGGCAGCGCTGTTTTTTCTTCCTTCTCTTTCTTCTTTTCAAGTAAAGTGTGCCTGCATAAATTGTTAAAAGTGAGGTTTTAAGGGGCGCCTGGGTGGCGCAGTCGGTTAAGCGTCCGACTTCAGCCAGGTCACGATCTCGCGGTCCGTGAGTTCGAGCCCCGCGTCGGGCTCTGGGCTGAGGGCTCAGAGCCTGGAGCCTGCTTCCGATTCTGTGACTCCCTCTCTCTCTGCCCCTCCCCCGTTCATGCTCTGTCTCTCTCTGTCCCAAAAATAAATAAACGTTGAAAAAAAAAAAATTTATATGTAAAAAAAAAAAAAAAAAGTGAGGTTTTAAGATGGGAACAGATGTCCTAGAGAAACCATATTGCTGATATGGAAGGAACTTAGAGTTTCAAACCATACTTGCTCACTTGAACAGAATTTTAGGAAAGCAAAGTTTTTTCCTTTATTTATGGAACTGATCATCCCCTGGGATTTAATCAAAGATAACTATTGTTAATTCTTTGCCTTATCTCTCAATAATGTAAATACACTATTCATCAAAAAAAAAAAATTTGTGATGGGAAAGCAGTTAGTCATTGCAAGGCAATTGCAGTTAAATGTCCATGTTTGAGTTATTATCATTAAACACATGAAGGAAAATAACATCTTGATTTCTAATAAGGACAACTTCATAAGACAGAAGCAGGGGGTCAAGGTAGGTAATATACTTCACATGCTTGTCTATTTCTCATAAAGAAATCTTACCACTCCTAAAAGATGGAAGAAGAATGCATACAGAGTTTATCACAAATCATTTACATGTTGGCTTTTTGGTATCAAAGAGTATTAGAAAGAAATACATGGAATAGTTTAACGAATTAAAAAGAAGGTGAACATATGATTTCTACAGTAAGTCTTTTAAAATTTGACTTACCTTGACATTGGGGACTATCCCCAATTTTAGTGAGAAAAGAGCTTTTTTTTTATTTTATTATTTTTTTTAAATTTTTTTTCAACGTTTATTTATTTTTGGGACAGAGAGAGACAGAGCGTGAACAGGGGAGGGGCAGAGAGAGAGAGGGAGACACAGAATCGGAAACAGGCTCCAGGCTCTGAGCCATCAGCCCAGAGCCCGACGCGGGGCTCGAACCCACGGACCGCGAGATCGTGACCTGGCTGAAGTCGGATGCTCAACCGACTGCGCCACCCAGGCGCCCCGAAAAGAGCTTTTAATATGTAGAAGAACAGGCTAACAAATATTATTTGCATCCATGTTTGGAAAAAAGCCCTGAGAAGTAATAGGACCCTCTGGGGAAGCTGCAACAGCCCCTCTGAATAGTTTAAAGAATGCAGACCTTCATTTTCAACACTTGAGTCGAATGCACCACCTCTATAAATGCCTTCAAATTTAGAAAATCTATGCTTCCCTTCCCAGGACTCTTTCTCCCCATATGCCTCTTAACAGTGGTGTGGTTGGAACCTTTTCTGCCTAATACTGAGAGAGAGCAAAGAGTTTCCTGGCAGGGGTCTCTTCTTTGTTATATATGTGTCCACTGGGGGTTGCTATTATCAATGGTTTCTTGATACAGATTTGTCATGTATAAAATCTTATCTTCACAAAAACATAATTTGATATCCTGTTCCAGCTTTCATAGGGAGGAAATAAGTAATTACGTTTAAATAAATGCAGGTAATTTAAAATTTAATATAAAAATTGATGCTTTCCAAAAAGCATATTGATTCCTGTTCCTGTTATCTTGATGTATATATTACAGCTAAATTTATAAATGGACATTACTCACAGACACCCAAATGCACATTACTTTCTCTCTCTGCCAGAGGGTCAAAACGATGGCAGTACGTCAGCAGGTTCCCCTAAGCAGTTAACTGTCAAACTCATGCTACTGCTGCACTATGAAGATCTCTATAGATTAGACTTACACAAATAAATTGTTGAAGGAGAGATCTTAGATCTTTGGGTCATATGTTTAAGGTTGAGGTTCTGGCTCCAACCTTGTTTTTTTTTTCCTAGGAAATTTGCAAGGTGGTTCAGTACATACCTGGAGCCAAGTTTCTTGCTACTTCATAGGGACATTAAGATCCCTTGCATTTACTGAGTTTAGATAAGGAGACTTGAAGTAATTGCAGATTAGAGAAGCTCTTTGGGGGTATATTTGGGTCAAGGGACATTTCAGAAAGATTTTTCATTTGGATTTCTTCTTTGAGTATAGAATTTTTGAGTGGAGACAGAGTGGGTTAGCTGCCCAGATAGTCTGGGCTTGAGATTTGCCAACAGATTTTACCTATTAATGAATAGAAAACTAAAACATAGATTTCTGAATTATCTAAGTATCAAGGTACTTAGATTTGTAAAACCATACTCCCTTTGTAATACTTCTGGTCTGCATGTATATGGTCTCTAAGATCCAGAAACAAAATATATATCTATATCTTTAGTAGGTGGTAAGTTATTCACATATAAAAATTGTTAGAAAAGATAATCTGAGAATTATGATAATTTATTGGAATTAGACTATTTTAACCAAACTCATGCAGCAATGTCTAAAATGGCTAGATGAGGGAGAATTTAATTGAAACATTAAAAAATAGTCATTGGTCACCAGTTATATATAGCCTAGTTACTGAATTCGAAACATGTTTTGGATACCTTGAGTATCTTTGTCTCCTTAATTGTTTAACCAACTGCATGTGTGTTACAGGAAGACTTTCAAAAACCAAAGAAATTTGGAGGTTTACCTGTTACGTTTATACCATCTGACCTTTGACACCAGACTGTTCGGGAAGAACCTTTCCAAGCACTGGCCATCCATTTGTATTCATAACACTGTCCATCTGCAGGGACACAATTAACATGAACAGAAGCATTCTGCTGTCTAGAAGGGCAATCGTGGGGAAAGTATATTAGGAAAATATTTATAAACAACTGAAAAGTGGTGAATCCATCTCAAAAATGATTCGAATGTTACTGTCCTAAAATTACCATAGAAATGTTATAAAATTCTCGATACATTGCTAAATCCCAACTAATGTTTTATGTCCACTGTCATATCTGATGTGAACTTGGATTTTTAATATAACGTAACGTTCAAAGTATTATAAAATATCAAATTTACATACAGGGGCAAATAATAACAAAAAATGTTCAATTACTTATGCAGTTTTAACAAATACTACCATTTAGGCATGTTTGCTTTAGTTTTGTCTGTTGGGGAGTGAAAAATAAGATGAACGTGATGTCCTATTATTAGGTCCTCTTCCTGTTGTGATATTCCTCCATATCTATCCAGCAAAAGCCACTATTTTAAAGTAGATACATGGATTCCTTTGCCATGTTTTTTATTCTTTTAATATAATACGTTATATGAGGTATGTATATATCCATAAAATACAGCACATCTGGTCCTCAAACAACATGGAGGTTAGGGGCAGTACCCCTATGCAGTCTAAAGTCTGTGTAGAACTTTGACTCCCCAAAATTTAACTATAAACAGCCTACTGCTGACCGGAAGCCTTACTGATAGTTAACACATACTTTGTATTATATATGTTATGTACTATGTGCTTAAAATAAAACCAGAAGGAAGAGAAAGTATAGTTATTGCATTTCTATTAACAAAATCCACATGTAAGTAGACCTGCAGGATTCAAACCATGTTGTTCAAAGGTCAACTGGATTATTAAAAATTCTAAAAGCATACTGTATGTGTCAATCTGAAACATTCAGTATTGTAGAAGAACTATTTCTATGCGATTTTTTTATAATGTAGCTCTGGTCTTATTTAACTGCTATATAAAATTCCACTGTACTAAATGCCAGAGTTTTTTGTTTGTTTTTAGCTATTTCTTCTCTGGATGGCCTTTTAGGTTCTTTTCAATTTTTGCTATTAGTACAATGCCTCAGTGGTCCACCTTCTGCAAGTCTCCATGTGCTTCTTTAGAGTAAACATCGAGAAGAGAAATTGCTGTATATCACCATATGGATGGCTGCAACCTTCCTAAATATAACTTTTTTTTTCCCTCCCCAAAACAACAATCCACACACCCACCAGCAGTGAATAAGTGTTATCATTGCTTAAGCCTTTAATAACATTGATAATTGCCAGATTTAAAACTTCTGGTTTGTCTGGTGGGTGTGGAAGCTGTATTGTCATTCAAAAATTTTTAATGTTTACTTACTTTTGTGTGTGTGTGTGAGAGACAGACAGAGTGTGAGCAGGGGAGGGCAGAGAGAGGAAGACACAGAATCCGAAGCAGGGTCCAGGCTATGAGCTGTCAGCACAGAGCCAGACAGGAGGCTCAAACTAGTGAACTGCGAGATCATCACCTGAGCTAAAGTCGGATGCTCAACTGACTGAGCCAGCCAGGTGCCCCTATATTGTCATTTTAAATTGTAGTTCTCTAATTACTAAAGCTATTAAAGAGTAACAATGTTTTGGGGGCATTTAGACTTCCTTTTATGAGAATTGCTTCTTTATATCTTGTGGCCATTTTTTTATCCTACTGAAATCTGTGCCTTTTCTTATTGAATTGTGGGAAAAATTTATTCTAGGATAGCAGTTCTCAAAGTATCCTGTAGAGAACCTGGGAGACTTTGACATTCTCCCAGGTGCGTGTGTGTGTGTGTGTGTGTGTACTTTTTCAAGTACACATTCATGTGACTAGAGCTGGGTTTTCTTCATATACATAAACCAAAATAAGACTGCAACAGATTGAATGCAGAAGTAGAGAATCCACCTGTCTTCCTTTAAGCCAGATATTAGAGATTTGCAAAAATGTAAAACAAGACCATACTTGTGAAAGTTACTGTTTTTGTTTTGCAAAATAATTATTTTTCAGCAAGTATGTTATTTACGGTTACACAACATTGGTTTATGATTATTTTAAATCTTTTCATTTTTAATACAAACTTTTATGTATCTAAAATTCACAAAAGAAAATTTGGATCAGTCGTTGTAGATACTAATCCTTGGAAATTAACTGCCCTCACAAATATATTTTCTAAGTCTGTAATTTCTTTCTTAGCCTTGTTTATGATCATTTACTATGTAGAAGATTGAAATTTTAATTTAAAATAATTTTTCTACCTTCCCATTTTTGTTCTTTTTGCGTCCTATGTAGGAAATTATTCCCTACCTTGAGTTTATAATGATATTCTCCTATATTTTCTTTTAAATGTTGTATAGTTCTATTTCACTTTCAGGTCTATAATTTATCTAAAACACAATTTTATGTATGGTGTGAGATAAAGATAATTTTAAAAACATTACACGGGTAACAAGTTATTGCAACATTATTTACCCACCTACTACCCTACTGACTTTCATTTCTGTCATGTATCCATATATGACAATTTGTTCCTGAGATTCTTTCATTAGTTTAATTGCTTTATTGTTGACTTGTCACTCTTTAAATTATTAATGCTGTAGAATAAATTTTGAAAAAAGCCATGTAAGTCCCCTAATCTCTCCCACTTTTTCCTTCTTGAAATTCTGGGATCTTATTGGTCTTCGACCTCTTTGTATTAATTTTTGGGTCAATATCTCATAACACATTAAAAATCTGTTCAAATTGCCAGGGTGCTTGGGTGGCTCAGTCAGTTAAGCCTCCCCACTTTGGTTCAAAAATGATACCATGGTTCATGAATTCAAGCCCCAGGTGGGGCTGTGCTGACAGCTCAGAGCCTGGAGCCTGCTTTGGATTCTTTGTTCCCCCTCCCTCTCTTTGCCCTTCCCTCACTGTGCCTTGTCACTCAAAAATAAATAAATACTAAAAAAACAAATCTGTTCACATTAGGAAATGCTCAGCACGGTGAGTGTAGTTATCATCTGTCACAATACAAAGTTATTAAAATCTTACTATATTCCCTCTTATCCCTCTGACTTCTTTACGTTGTAACTGGAAATTTGTAACTCTTAATCTCCTTCACCTATCACTTACCTGGCAACTACTAGTTTGCTCCCTGTATTTATGAATCTGTATCTGTTTTCTTGTTTTGTTCATTTGTTTTGTTTTCTAGGTTCCACATATGAGAGTAATCATATGGTATTTATCTTTGTCTGACTTTCTTTAATTATACCCTCTAGGTTCACCCACATTGTCTCAAAAGGCAAGATCATATTCTTTTGTATGGCTGAGTAATGGAATATTGCACACACACACGTGTGTGTGTGTGTGTGTATTATACCATATATTTATCCATTCATTTACTGATGGACATTTAGCTTGTTTTGCTCTTGTAAATAATGCTGCAATAAACATGGGGTGCATAGGTCTTTTTGAGTTAGTGTTTTTCTTTTATTTGGGTAAGTACCCAGAAGTGGAATTACTGGGTTATGGTAATTTTAATTTTTTGAGTAACCAACATACTGTTGACCACACTAACTGTACCAATTTACATTCCCATCAAGGATGCATGAGAGTTCCTATTCTCCACATCTTTGCCAACATTTATTTCTTAGCCATTCTGACTGGTGTGAGGAGATACCTCATTGTGGTTTGGGTTTACATTTCCCTGATGATTTGTTGAGCATCTTTTCATGTTGGCTATCTATCTGTGTCTCTTTCTTGGGGGGAAAAATGTCTATTCAGGTCCTTGCACATTTTTTAGATTGTTTTTGGTGTTTTGTATAACTTCTTTATATATTCTGGATATTAACCCCTTTTTGGATTTATGATTTGCAAATATCTTCTCCCATTCAATAGGTTCCTTTGTTGTTTTGTTGACAGCTTCTTTCTCTGTGCAAAAGCTTTTCATTTTAGTGTAGTCCCAATAGTTTATTTTTGCTTTTGTTTCTCTTTCTGGACATCTAGAAAAATGTTGCTAAGGCCAATGTCAAATTACTGCCTACTTTTATTCTAGGAGTTTTATGGTTTTATGTATATGTCTTTAACCCATTTGAGTTTATTTTTGTATGTGGTATAAGAAAGTGGTCCAGTTTTATTCTTTTGTATGTAGCTGTGCAGTTTTACCGGTACCATTTATTGAAGAAACTGTCTTTTCCCTATTGTATCTTCTTGCCTCTTGTGTACCAGATTAATTGATCATGTAAGTATGGGCTCTCTATTCAGTTCCATTGATATAGGTGTCTAATTTTGTGCCAGTTCCACATGTTTTTGATTACTATAGCTTTGTAGTATAGTTTGAAATCTGAGATTATGCTGCTTCCAGCTTTGTTGCTCCTTCTCAGGATTGCTTTGGCTATTCAGGGTCTTTGTGATTCCATATAAATCTTAGGAGTATTTGTTCTAGTTCAGTGTAAAATACCATTGGTACTTTGATAGGGATTATATTTACTCAGTAGATTGCTTTGGGTAGTATGAACATTTTAACAATATTTTCCTAATCCATGAGCATGATAGATGTTTTTATTTATTTGTGTAGTCTTCAATGTCTCATCAATGCCTTATTGTTTTTAGTGTACAGGTTTTCACTTCCTTGGTTAAGTTTCTTCCTAGGTATTTTGTTCTTTTTGGTGCAATTATAAGTGGAGTTTTTTTTTTCTTTCTTCTACTTTGTAATTAGTGTATAGAAATGCAACAGGTGTCTACATATCATATCGATTTTGTATCCTGCAACTTAACTGAATTCATTTATTGTAATAGTTTTTTGGGGGAGGGTTTTCTATGTATAATACCACATCATCTGCAAGCAGTGACAGTTTTATTTCTTCCTTACCAACTTGCATGCTTTTCTTTTTATTGTATGATTGCAACATCTAGGATTTTGAGTACTACACTGACTAAAAGTGGTAAGAATGGATAACATACTTGTTGTACTTCTGTTCTTGATGGTGAAACAACTAAGAGCTTGTCTGAGGATGATGTTAGCTGTG